CCGGGAGCCGTAAGGGGCAAAGAAAATAAAAACTTTTTAAATGTTGGTAAAGCATGAAAGGCTTATAGAAAGGATGGTGCTATAAATTTGAGCTTACTCGTGAGTAAACTGATGCAATCAAATGCTATAAGAACTTTAGTCATACTCACACAGAAAATATATCAAATGATATGCAGATGTGCAGGAAAGTAGGCAAAATATGGTAAATAGGAAGATATAATCGTAGAGCTATATAAAAAAGGTTGGACAAGAATCTAATGGAGAATAGGTAGATAAATGTATAAACATACAGATAAAGTATGAAATGTGCACGAGGATTTAATAAAAAAGGGGAAAATTGGATACAGAAAATAGAAAGACTACTCAGAAAGAGGCAAATTGGAACCACCCTTAATGTGAGGCTGTTTCATATTGGCTTCAAGCGTTTCCCATGCTACTGCCAGATTAACGAGCTCCGCGACTTCAGGCCGCCGTAGCCAGGCCTGAGTGACTTGTCGCAGTTGATAGCTGGTAGTGGCATTCTCGCTATCGTTAGTGTCGTTAGATGTAGCAGCCTCAACTGCCAAACAGATTGCTTCGTCTGATAACCAACCAGCATAGGGACTGGCACTTGTCAGAGGTGAGGGGCTCAAAGCAGAGCTGCAAAGGCAGGCAAGAACGATAAAAATTATGGCACTTAAAGATTTAGAGACTCGGGATATTGTTAAGCACAATTTATATCAGCCAAAACCTTAAAAAGAAGATAAGATAGTGAATCAAATGGTTTCTCAATTAAGTGAAATAAAATAAAATTTGCTCAGTAATCTGGATGAGAAATTGCACCAAACAGCTATTGTTTGTTTAAGAAGAAGGGTTAAGGGTATATTTCTTATTTTTCCTATATAGGTAGTTTCGAGACTACCAGTAAATCAGTAATATGAGATGCATTGGCCCAATTTCGTTTAAGGTGATGAAGGACTGGTAGTAGAATTTTCCCACAATGATATAAATAGAGCTGACACTTCCATTGAATTTTACATAGACTTGTTTTCCCAAAAGTTGCCCTCATTTAGGG